TAAACTTTAAACAATTATCTAATAGCCAATATACGAGTATACTTCCTAAAGCCAATACACTTTCCACGTATACAACCGCGGCCTAAGCCTGCTCTCCGCAGTGATACGAATAAGTTTGTGTGTCCGGCTTTTCTTGTTCGTATAGTATATTACGCGTTCATTCGAATCGGCTTTTGCGCACAACGCGATTTGTTTTCCGGATTTGTATTTAACATTGTTCACTGCAGCTCTAATGACCGGACCCGATAATATAATAAAGGTGTGATTTTTTTCAAAACAACGGAAATCATTCGCATTCGGGTTCCGGCCTCTCGGTGTTTACATTTTATATATTATATACTTTTGCTGTATATATATAAATATACAGAATATAAACAAACGCGTTTTATATATATATATATACATAACAGATTGACGCGAATATTAGCAGCACACGGTCGGTCGAGGGAGGAAAGTGGAGGGGGAAACGGAGTAGACACTGTCAAAACGTTTCGGGTTGATGGCAATAAATAAAACGACAAATGAATGAAATAACACTTCCACTGGAATAGTTTGTAAACAAAAGATTCGAATACATATAGTTTATAATATACAGACTACTGCAACATGAAAAGCTCGTTCGTTAAGAAAATATTTTTATAAAAATACTATTCATGTTTGAACAATCATTTTTTTTTTTTTTTTTTTTAATTTTCTTTCGTCGTCATCGTCGGCAGAATATCAACGCGGACGATACTTACTCCGTTTCGCTCGTCTACGACGCGACTACTTTAGGTGTTATCTCGGAAAACGGACATTCTATATATTATTATTACACTATTGCTGTGTTATAGCAATGGGTATTTTTTTTTTCTCGAGAAAGAGAAAGACGTTGCAGCAGTATTGATTTTACACCGCGGCCGTTCGCGGTTTCTTCTGTACATTAGTATTCTTTGCCGGTATACTTATCTCAAAAACAGTTCACTCAAAAATGTAATATCGTACGTTATGGATATTCTAAATTCTCTGTAGAATTATAATATAACTTAGCCTTCATTTGGTTTTATATTATGTTCAACTTACCAATTTGCTTTATCGTAATATTCGATTCGGTCATTGAGGTATCAGTTTAATATTCTAGAGTGTCTTAAACTGTTCAATCAAACATAATGAAATAATTACCAAATATAGGGTGAATTTTTTATCATGAACCAGCAATTATCTCAGAGGATTTTAAGTGAATTTGATTTCTGTTTTTTCTAGTCTTTATGGAATCGTTTAAACTTTACATTAAACTACTTTAAATTTTTTACCCCTACTTCATGTACCTTAAATAAGTGCATACTTTTGATTTTCAAATAGGAATATCCCCTCCTTTTTTGAACACAAATTTGAATAGAGAATATTTTTCTTGAAATTTTGATATGCATAACACTAATATCAGATTTACTGTTATAACTCATAAACATGTTGTTTATCTCATCTATTTATTCATCTATTGTTTTATTAAGAATATTTTATATTATACAAAATAAATGTAGAAAAATTCGATTATAGTGATGGAAATCTGTTCACGGTTGGTTTTTACTACTTCGCTACGAAACCACATAATCTTTATTAATATTTTTAACATTTAAAGATTTTTTTTTTTTCTTAACTTTATCTTTAACTCTCATTTATAAAATCGATAAAATAAAAGGTTTTTTTTAAACAACTATTTTGTATACCTACTATATGTATATATATAAATGAGTATAAATATTTTTTTTTAACGAATATTTACTGCGATGAATTAAATTATGTAGTTTTACAATAACTGGAAAAAGTATATGAGTTACGTTGTACTTAATAATATTACTGTAACGTAGTCTGAAATATAAATGGAAAAATAAACGAGTTTTTTGAAGATTATTGCAAAGTAAAAGTGAGGTATAGAAAAAAAAGGTTTGTACAAAAGTCGGCTTAGTTGAGAGAGTACATATTTCTCCCTTTTTCATTATAAATTTAGACTCACTCTAACGTCTTTTAGAGTAGTTTTTATTATACTTTACTTCACAAGGATATTTAACTTGAAACGATAAAAGAGCAACGTTTATATAGTGTGTTATTTTCTTTTTAAAGGTTTTTTTTTTCATTGTACGTCAAACAATATTATAGTGTTTAATAGGTACTTATTTATATGAATATTCCACGTAGTTAAAAAAAAAAATCCGGACTCTGTTTTAGTAAATGTGTTTGTATTCTTTTCACATTATAAATGCTTTTCCGTTTAAACTTTTTTAATCGTGATACAAAGTTATATATTACCATTAATTTTATAAAATATATATTTACTCGTATGTTTTAATATTATTTGCAACTACTTGAAATACAATATTTTATCATGTTATAATTTTAAATTTGGATATTTAGGTAATTCATGTAGTTTCTATTTAAATAATATGGTAGTTTTAAAATTTACACATTTAACAGGGTTCAGGATTTTATTCGTTTTACTAAATTTTAACAATGCGACCATATCTGGTCAAATCGGTTTATACTGGTCTATTTGCACTCGTCTATGCCTTTACTTTATAATTATAATTTATAAAAAAAGTTCTTCAAAGTTTTCTTTATAACATTATTTATCCGATAATTATTTAAATCATTACAATTCGGTATTTCATTTGAATTATAAATGATAGAGAAACACAATCAATATTATACCTAATTCACTGTGAAAATAAAGGGAACGAAAATTTTAAACGTAAAATCATTCAACTCGGCAGTTGTAAATTATAATAAGTAATATTATTAATAGATTTGGTATAATATTTTCAAAATAAGAACCAGCGTAAAATAATATGAATAGTGGATCTCGAAAGACAGATCATAGAATAAATATTATATTAAACATAAGTTAATGTTATTTTGTATATTTTTAGATACGAATCAAAAATATGTTTTATAATAAAATATTAATGTTTAACACATTTTTTAACAAGAAGATTATAGTATTAATCTAAAGGATTGGTTACGATGTATATTTTAGTCGATTTAGACCTTAAAGCTATAAACAAAACTGTAGGAATGTGTTTGATAAATTTCAATTTTGTAAACGGATTATGATTTTTTAGGCGCTTATTTGGGATATGCTGGAAATATAAATGTTATTATTTTACTGGAAAACGCAAAACAAAATCGGTTGTATTTTTAAGACATTTTAAAAAAGTACTTAAAGTATTTACCGTTTAAATATGATAAAGAGAACTAAAATTAATAAAATAATTCAAGTGTCCTAGTAGAGAATATAACGGATTATAATACGTTTTTAAATTAGAAATCCGTCAAATACAATTCCTAAGGTTTTGCCTGAGTTTTCGATCTAAAACGTCATATTTGTCAGTAAAAACGACCGTACCCCCTCCCCGTAAATGAGCATGGGGCAATCAATTAGTGGAAAAGTCCTATCATTAAAATTTAAAATCAAATTTTACGAAATGTTAAAAACTTTGGAAGACTTCTCCGTGATATTAATTGGTAAATCATAGATCATCAATTATAGGTTAGGAAAAAATATTCGACATATATTACAAATGTCAAATTTCAAACATTTGTAGAAATATATTAATAAAATATTTGATAGATTTGTCAGATATTACGCACGATTACAGGCCGATTCACAGTAAATTTTGATACTGACATTGAAATAAACGCAACGTTTTACATTTTTTTTGCAAAACAATTTGAAATTTGAACAAATATTTGAAGTTTGCCATATTATGCTTAGGTTGAACATTCCGAAAATTATTTCACCGTGTAAACTCGGGTACCGTGAGCCCGTGCTGTATGATAAGAACGAAAAGATCACATTATAATATGATATACGTATCTAGGCAACATCCGTCAACAGCGATATTATAATATATTGTGTTATTTTACAGAGTTATCGGAAGTATGGAGAAAAGGCAACCAGGAAAAAAATCCACTATAGGTGTATAGTAAATAATATAATATTATAATGCATGAAACGATCTTATCCCGACCCTTCTCGTCAAGGCATTAAAGGTCGCTTTCAGGTTCTTGATTACATCAAGGCAATTAGCGGGCCCGCAAAAAACAACACAAAGGCCGTGTATATTGTATATCCGTATATATAATATATAATTTCCTTTTTTTTTTTTTTTTTAGCGCCCGTCGTATAGAAGAGAACGGCCCGGGATAGAAGTGTGCAAGAGCGGATAATACTCTCTCTCTCTTGAAAACACTACTACCCGCGACCGCCCCCGCCGCCGCAACGACACCAAATTTCATTACCACCCGTCCGCCGCGTCGTTGCCGAGCGCACTGCGTGTGTGTGTACGACCGTAGGAATCGATTAGGTGGGCGGGTGGCGTCGTTTGGCAGGGCGGAAGAGTGCGGCGTGAAAAAGGACAGTGTGCGCACGTGGGGATTTGAACGGGATATACCATGCAGCCGCCGCCGCGGCTGACTGGATGGCCGGATGGCTGACGAGGAGAAGAAGAAGCGAAGAAGTAATTTACGAGCTTTGCATAAATACGGGCGCGAGGGGGGACAGACGACCGCGCGGAGGTGGCGGCGCGGTGCGGGGAAATGGTCGCGCGCGAGATGAGGACAGTGGTGCTGTGTATAGCGGACGAGCTGGCGCACAAACGGTCGCGCGAGCTGCTGAATGGGATGGCGAGGTGTAGTGGACGAAAGACGGCGAGAAAGGGGAGAACTTCGTACACAGGGATGATTTCGGAAGGGTCGCGAGCTCGCGCGCGCGCGCGCCCGCGAGCTCGATCGCTTTGGCCGAGATGATTCTGTGTGCGCCGGGAGTCTGAGCGTGACCCCTGCGTGTGCCCGCCAGGTGGCGCGCCAGTTGACCCAACTTCTACCCGCGTCCGCTCGTCCGCTCGTCCGCAAAAAGGGCGCGCCACAGCCCCCGATCGATACAGCCCGCCGGGACGGCCGCGCTGCACGTATAGTCGAGCAACCCCGAAAAACCAACGCCCGACGTGCGGTACTCTGGCGACGGACTCTCGACGGACAACACGTCTGTTCACTCCGGTCTACGGCGGCCGGCGCGGCGGTCGTCCGTGGTGGCCAGCCAGAGCGTCTCACCGTCACCGTCGATGCGTCAGTGTTGATTCACACCCCGTGCTGGCTACTTCAGTGCTGCTGTAGCTGCCACCGCTGCCACTACTTGTACAACTTTGCTGCTGCTACAACTGTAGTGCTTCATTCAATAGTTACTTCTAGTGTACTAGCCTAGTAACCGGGTAAGCATGAACAATTTACTAATTTTTTTTTATTTTTCGTCGTTTATTTTAAACATATTTTATTTAAATATATTATTAAGTTTGAATTATAATACCAGTTATTATTTTTATCATCATATATTATCTACCACTAGATAATATAAATTCTACTGAGAAATTTACAAGCATTTAAAATTTATGCGATAGTTAAATGTTCATACGTTAAGAATGAAAAAAAAATGTTAAACGATTTCGTATAGGAAATATACCATATTATATGCGTATTTTTTTTTTTTACATACATTCGGCCAATTCGAAAATGAATTTATTCCAGAAATTTAACGTTACAATATTGTCAAACATTTATTGTATTCTACATTGACTGTATGCTGTACCCGCCATTATCAAAATCGTCTAAATAATTATTTACTCCCGAATTCGCCTTATGAATATATACCCACGTAATAGTTATTTAAGAGATTATAGGTGTTGCGAGCGAGTTTCATGCATCAGCTTATAATAATATATTCGTTTAAGCCGGGGGTCGGGAACGTGTGGGTAAACGGTTGACGGTTCAATTTGTTTTTTTTTTTTTCTGTTTTTCTAACGGAAACCGGCCGGCGACGACGGTTAAAATGTACGTTAGGATCGCGTGCGGCGGCGGCGGCGTCCGCCGCGGACTAAGCGCGTCGGGGGCACGCCGGAGAGGGGCCGCGCGGACGGTCAGCGGGGCGCGACGCGACTTTTATGGGACGGCGGGGGGAAGGCGCGGGGGAAACAGCCGCCCGGCGCGGAATAATTTGCATTCGGCGGGGCTCGTGCCCGTCGCCGCCGCCGACGCCTCGCGATTTCCCACCCCGCCCGAGTATTGATCGCGTGAGTCACCCTCCGTGCACGGCGGCGGCGGGGCGTGCGGTACCGTCCTCGCGGAGGGGTGTGTCGGGGCGGTGGCCGCGCACACGCATATTATATATTTATCTGTACACCCGCGCGCGTGTCGTACTTGCGCGTACTGTTTTTTTTTTTTTTATTTTTTTTTTCAAACGATTTATCGGCGAGAGGAAAACGCGTTTGTGCGTGCGGACACGGAACGGGTATTATACTTGTGCGCGCCGCAGGAGTAACGGAATAAATAATACGACGGGAGAAATAATAACGGGGGGGGAGAGGGGGAAAAAATAATAATAATAACAATAAAAAAAAATTCGCGGACCCTTCCGATACGCGCCGACCCTTTAATATTGTGCGCGTTCGCCACGCCAAGGGAGCGAGAGTTCGTTGACACGGCGGCGGCGACGGGTTTAACATTATAATAATATACGAAAAAGGGAGGAAAAAAGTACAAATAAAAATAAACAGGAGGGGGACGACAATGACTGACGCGCGCGTAAACCGATAATCGCTGTACGGATCACGGCGATCATTACGTTATTATAACAAATAATAATATGTACCGGGCGATATTTTTTCGATAGGCCTTCGCGATTCGTTTTCGGAACGGCGACTTTGTTTTTCGTAAACTAAATTTTTTTTTTTTTTATTCCGGTTCTTCCGGACTGTTTCAGAGACTGTTTCGGGAACGCCCGTATGACGCCCTCGTTGACGATGTCCGAACGCCTGCAGTAACAACGCGCGTGTTCAGCCTGCCGGAACGCCGAAGAGGAGACGGCGGCGTCGGTCCGCGCCGCTATATACCTACACTATCGCCGATGATTGTCACTGCACGGGGGCGATTAGTCTTCGTTGTAGTGATGCTCTACATCTACCCTGTAGATCCGAATTTGTTTGAAAAACGGCGACAAATTCGGTTCTAGAGAGGTTTGTGTGGTGCATATTCCTTACGACCAGAATTTGAATTTGCCCCCCCCCCCCCATCGGTTTTATTTTTGTTCAATTTTTCTATCGCATTGCATTATATTATATACTTATACCGAATTGGAATAGTCAAATTCACGCGTTCATGTACCGCACGACCGTACCTGCAGCTGAACATAAAATTATATGTACATTTATTACTATTGTTGTTATTATTATTGTTACTATTATTGTTATATTATGAAATAAAAATTATACACGTATAATATTATGTAATATGTATTTTGTTTTGCGGTAACAAAAAAAAAAAAAAACCATTTTTTAACCATTGTACAATTATTATTGATTAACTATAGGTATACAATAACCCGACTTGTGTGTTTTATGTTTTTTTCTTCGGATATTCCCGCCTAGCATAAATAATTATTACTGTATACATTACACCTATAATAAAAACGTTAATACCATATTTTGTCAATGTAAGAAAATGTTTAATCATATAAGGTATGATCATTTTATTTATATATTGTTTTATGTACCTATAGGACATAGGTATAAAATAATGTGGATTTAAATTTTATTTGATTTTTCCCGGTTTCATTGAAAAATGTTGTCACATATAAGAACAATATTAGAAATAAAATCAAAATGAATTGAAACTTTTATTCTGTACGTTATTCGGTCCAATAGCAGTGTAGGGTCAAATACTTCAATGAAATATACGATATTTCAGCGATAAAAATACGTTCGAGAATGCCTAATCATTGACCATATAGATAGATATATAACAAACATACATAGTTACATACAACTACAGCTGTTCAAAACATTTTTTGATTACTTTTAAAATAATATAGGTAATATTGAATCGGTCAGAGGAAAGCACCGATGTAATGTAAGTTTCTACAGTTTATCATTTCAAATCGCGTATCATCATACTAATTTTCCTAAAACGTCCTAATAGTATGTATGGATATATATATATATATATACGCATAAGTAATATGTTATTATAGTAACTTAGTGGTTCTTCTTGAGTGACATGTAATTTTGGTAAAAAAAAACAAGGTGAGTAATTTACAAAATATCCCTGACTTACCCCACCCCTAAGTCTCCGGCAGGAAAAACTGACACTTTCTGTACAATATTTATATTTATATTCGCAGTTGAAATGCAGAAATACCACTATATAAAAATAATATATCTCTGTAAACATGACTTAACTTATTTCCGTATTGTAATTGTTTTGAATAATTTTGTTAGAATTCAGCAAAGCAATAATTCATCACTTTGACAACTATGTAGGTTATAAATGTTATAAATTATAATAATAATACGCTATTTTGCTTTTGTACATATATTTCAGATAAGTAAAAGACATTTCGTTTCTTTAAGTTCACTTTAAAAACGTATAAATAAATGTATACGTAATAATAAAAATAATAAATAGAATATCAAAACTTTCCGGGAGGGGGTTATTATTCGATATTATCGTCACTGCATTTCGTTCGCATCTCAACACAAAATTATGTTCCATTATTATCATAAAGGTATTCAGAACGAAACTTATTGATTTTAATAAATTTTAATCGGAACAAATATCAGAAATTCGTAGTGACGATTTTAAGATTCTGGTCGTATACTTTTAAATTCGGAGCAAAGCGAGGGATATTTAGGTTTTACTGTGGTATATGTGTATTTCTCTGTGTACATTTTTTCTCCCGGAGAACTTGCCCCGAAGTATAGACTGTAGCACCTTTTCATAAGGTCATTTTTCGATTTTCCAAAGGGTTTTCGATATAATCCGGAAAATCCCGAAAGAAAAGTCTAGGTAAAACGGCAAATATAATATACGGCACCCCGCGGCGTTATCGTTTTCAATGTTTTAATTATCGTCAAGACTATGTTTTCTACAATATTGCTCCGATCAAAAAATGACAGTCGATTGATTTTGTTTTTTTTTACACATAGCCACTGATAGGGGAAGTGGTTTTTTGACATTTAAAGTATTTTTTGTAGTACAGTAGAGCCTGAATAGTCCGGACGAATTCAGATCGAGCATCGTCAGGATCACCGGAGGTTTTTCAAAATTACCTACTCAAATGACTTAATCTTTTTAATTTTATTTCCACCACGTTTATATTTATTGCACTTTAAATTTCCAAAATAATAAATTACATTTATTATCATTTTATTGTAAAATTACTATATAATTTTTTCTGAGTAATATTTTTAATTATGATTTTAAAATTTCTGGGAATTCCGAACAAACAACATTGTATTTACGAACAAATGGATGTATATGCCGTCCGAATTAACGCGTTCGCCGGAGAGGGTCTGGACTATCGAGAGTCTACTGTAATTAGAAAAAGACAAAAAAGACGAGATATTCGATTTTTGTTCAAATTAAGTAATAACGATTTCGTTATTTTAAATTTTTAAGGCTAATGTTTTCTACTATAAATAATGCTCCAATAGATAAACAAGTGATAATTTTGTATAATTTTGTGTAGACGTTTTTTGCATTTTTAATATAATTTAAGACCAGGAAAGTTATTTTTTGATTTTCTTTGTAATTTTTGTAATAATTGAGTAAAACCGAAAAAAAAAATGTAGATATAACGGGACATTTTACGAAAATATTTATTTTATTTTATTGTTTTTATTACTTTTATTATATTGAATTTTGTTTTTTAGTTGTTGTCCAGGTTAAATTAATCGTAGACTTGAAATTTTGACAAAAAATATATTGTATTAACTTACTTTTTCTTAGTGTGGTAAAATTTTCAAAACATTTTTTTTTTGAGGTTTTTTGAGCTATTTATAGAAATTTTAATTTTACAAGTTTTTTACGTAATTTTGATTTGGTAGGTACTCTGTAGATAAATTATTAGACTTAACAGAAATGCTTGACAATTTGATAGGAGGTTCATTATAAGTCCTAATTTGTATTAAAAAAAACTTATATACCTAAATGGTTTTTACAATCATTAAATTTGTAAGGCTTTTCTCCTGTATGAATTAACTTATGCTGCTTTAAACTAATCAACTGAGTAAATTAATTTTCACAAACATTGCATTTTAAAGGTTTCTCACCCATATGAATTAACTTAGGCTGCTTTAAAGTGAACATTCAAGTAAATGATTTTACAAAAACATTACATTTAAAAGGTTTCTCACCTGTATGATTTAACTTATGTCGCTTTAAACTGTTCAGATGACAAAATGATTTTTCACAAAAATTGCATTTAAAATATTTCTCACTATCACGAATCCATATGTAACTCGTCAAATGAGACTTCAGTCTAAATGATTTTTTACACTCATTACACTTGTGGGGCTTTTCGTCTGTATGAATTAACTTATGCACCTTTAAACTAGATGATTGAGAAAATGATATTGCGCAAACATTGCATTTAAAGGGTTTCTCACCTGTATGAGTTTTTAAGTGTTTTGTAAAACCACTCTTATCCCTAAATGATTTTCTACACTCATTACATTTGTAAGGTTTTTCTCCTGTATGAATTAACTTATGCTGCTTTAAACTGATCAATTGAGTTAATGATTTTTTACAAACTTTGCATCGTTTTTCGATATCAGTTTTAATCTGACATTTTATAGCATTTGCCTGAGTAAATGGTTTATTACACATAATGCATATATGTATCTTCTGTAAATATTTCATTATATGTGATATTAAATCCGATTTTGAATTAAATGTGATACGACAAATGTTGCATGTATAACTCTTGTTTCTAAGGTGTGGTTTTTTATGTGAAATTAATTCCATAGGGTCAATTTCAATAGTCATTATACTTATAAACATACAACCATTTATTAATTCAGGTGTTTGGGTATTTGGTTGTTCTACTTCACCTTCGGAGTAGTGTATGTAACTGAAAATTTCACAAACACAATGTAATGAGAAAAGTATAACCTAAATTTGTTTAAGTTAATTTAGTTGTATTGGTATATATATTATAAATTTTTTTTGTATTAAACTATAGCCTATTATAGCAGTTCCCAAACATCTGAATAGTGCAGAACAACAATTTTGTAAAAGAAAACATTGAGACCCACTAACTTAATATTCAAGTAAAAATAAAAACAAAAGAAGCTATATTATCTTATGACAAATACAATATAATGCAGGGGTTGTCTAACAGTCAGTTGCAATTGACTAGAAGATCATAAACAATTTAAATGTCAATCTCCCTTTGTAATAATTTATTTTTATATAATTAGTAGGTAAACCACAATAAATTACTGACCATTTTTACCTAGCAGAGCTATGGAGTATAATACAGAATAGTTCAGAGAAATTTCGTTGAAATTTCATTTACAATATGTTAGTTTTCAAAAAAATTAACTGATTAATAATTTAGATCAAAATATGTAGATCTCATTTGAAAAACCAAAGTTGCTATAGCCATAGGATACTCTTTAAATATAGTGAAAAAACTAAGTATGCAAAAATATGGTCATTCAATGAATTTAAAAATTCCAAAAATCAAAATTTGAATTTATGCATAGTTTAAAATAGATACAAATGGAATGAGCAAGCATAAATAACTCTGTATATTATATTATATCTTCAGTTATATATATGAAATAAATGTTACATAAAAATAATTATTCTAAAAAATTATCCTTACCTTCCCCCCTCCCCCAACAATAAAATCACTGATGACTGTCACTGACTAGTTTAAAACTGTTTTTAAAAATAAAAATCAAAGGACCTATTTTAAAGATCTTAATATCTTTTTTAATATATGGGGATTAGATTGTACATGTTTTTTTCAGAAATCAACTGAAATTAATATCTCTTTATGGAATTACTAACTGTTTCCGTATAAGAATAGTTTTACTTATAATAAATATATATATATATTAATAAAGTGCATTCTAATTATTGCAACTGAAAATAACATGAACCTTGATAATCTTGACTATTTACACTATTTTTATTAATTTCATACAATTTGTTGGTTTTAGAATATTAAAATCCCATACATATTATCCAATTAGTCTCAAACTTTCAAGATAATTTTGTTTATTATACAGCACAGATAGGCTGGTGTTCCAAAGGTTGAACAATTTAATTTATACAAATTATTATAATAAAATATTATTAAATATTATAATTAGTAAATTATTTTAACATTTGTTTTGCTAACCTTTTCTAAAACTAGTAAAATATGTCTTTTTTTTTTTGTTCAGAGAAATAAAATGCCAGCCGTTTTTAAGTGGGACAACTAATTTGCAATAATTATCTCTTAATTATATATGTAACTAATAATAATTGTGAACTAACAAATTTAAGTGCATGTGTAATATGATATCATTTAGGTTTAATTTAATTTAGTTATAACAATAAAAAAAAACAATTAAAAAAAACTTACTCTGATGGTTGGTTAACATTACCAGTTAATACACTTCCAAACTCACATTTATTTAATAAATCAATTTCATTTTTTTATTTCAATTACTTGAGGTGTTTCTCCTTCAGAGTTAATTGTACATCTAAAAAGTTATAAAACATAGTATATATTAATTACCTTAATCTTCAAACTAAATAAAATATAAAATATATTTAAAAATTATATCTTATGAAGGATGGTAAAATCCAACTAAATTGATTTTTTTGAAAATTGTAGAATAGGTAAACATTTGATTTTGTTCATCAGTAATAAATATAATGCATGTAAAATATTGAGGGTTGGAAAGTGTTTTTAAAAACCGACATAAACGAAAAAAATTCAATCATGGAAACAAAAACAAAAATAAATTATACTACAATACAAATACAAAATGCAATAAGTTTTATGTCTCTATGGCACCTAATAATAAAATTCTGTAATCGAAAACTGGTAATCCATCAGCTAATAAGCGGTAATTATTAAAGCTGTATATTAAGAAAGCTGTGGTTGTTATTTATTATTTTCAACTATTCATAGTGATAAAGTTTTAGTTACCCAAACATATGTGATATAAACTAATATGTTGTTCCTAAGTAACTTACTTATAATATAAATTAAACAAATTTTTAATGTTTAGAAAATGTATATTAATAAACAATTAATACTATTATACAATTTAAAATTTAAAAATATTATAATATAATATTTTAAAAATTTATCCAATATTTAATATTTCTTTGTCAAATTTCAGGAAAAAAAGAATGACATACTTCGCAAGATGGTTAGGCCACTGTTGTAGGTCAGAAGTTGGGAAGGTAGAATACCTATGGAGAGGAATCAGATGTATATCTGTATGCAATGATTAATCATTAATATGAAAATTCTACTACGTCTAGAAAAGGCTAATATAAGTTTTCTATCCATTTTCAAGTTTTGTTAGGTTAGCTTAGATCATTGTTAATTCCAAGTTGACTGCTTATAATGCTTATAAATAGTTAAGTTAGGTTAGCATTGTTTTACTAACTTTTACTAAATCAAGTAGCATATGTATTTTTTTTTTATTTAGAGAAATAGAATGCCAACAGTTATTAATTAGTACAACTTATTTGCAAAAATTATCACTTAATATTGGATACAATTATTAATAATTGTGAACAGCTTACTTGAAGGACATGTGTAATCATTTACAGATTAAATAGGTTTAATTTAGGTTTAATATAATGTAATTAAAACATAGAAAAAAAAACAAAAACTTACTCTGGTGATTGGTTAACATTACCAGTTAATACACTTTCAAACTCACATTTATTTAATAAATCAATTTCATTTTTTTATTTCAATTACTTGAGGTGTTTCTCCTTCAGAGTTAATTGTAGATCTGAAAAGTTATAAAACATAGTATATATTAATTACCTTAATCTTAAAACCAAATAAAATATAAAATATATTTAAAAATTATATCTTATGAAGGATGGTAAAATCCAACTAAATTGACTTTTTTGAAAATTGTAGAAGAGGTAAACATTAATAAATCTATTAAATGTATACAAATTTTAATTTTGTCCATCAATAATAAATATAATTCATGTATAATATCGAGGGTTGGAAAGCATTTTTAAAAAACGCTCATAAATGAAACATTTCAAACATAGAAACAAAAACGGAAATTAATTATACTACAATACAAATAATTCAAAATTTAAAAAGTTTTATACCTTTATGGCACCTAATAATAATGAATAATTATACATAAATCAAAATTGTTAACACCATCATTTACTTAAAGTAATACTTATTTTATTTATGGAATTTTTAATATATGTTCTCATTTGAAAAACCAAAGTTGGTATCACCAGAGTATACTCCTTAAATGTTTTGAAAAATCTAAGTATTCGATAATATCGACTTAAACTACATTTAAAAGTTCCAAAAATCAGAATTTGAATAAATGTAAAATCTAACCGAAAAAATGGGGTGAGCATACTTAGTGAATCACTCTATATAAACTTGTACTACCTACTTCAAATTATTTTTTGGTGATTATTTGTTTGCTGAAACTGATTTAATTAATATCTATGCAATTTTGCATTATTATTTTTTTATCATATAGTAATCTACATTCTTATTTTGGCAATAATACGGTTTCAATAAGAACAAAATCAATGATATGGAACTAGAAATACTGCATTTTATAATAACATTGTATGAATGTCAATAATATTGATTATTCAGATACCTATTTAAAATGTATAAGTATTTAATTTATGAATTTTACCAGGTGGTGGTAGAATTGGTACCAAGAGGGTCTTAATGACTTAAAGACTTTAATGTATTATTATATTATATTATTCACAGAACATTTAAATGTGCAAAATATTGATATTACCTACATTAAGTAGGTGGTCCGGTAACCATGGTGCCTTAGGTAGGCAATGATATTTTGGTTAACAAAATTTAATAATCACATAGATTATAGGTAGTAGGTACCTATATGGTTATTTATTATACAATATAAAACTAAGATGGTAATGAGTAGGTGTCGATGTATTATACTATCTACATTATAATAATTAATACTCACTTTGAATTTGTTGATTGTTTGATTAACTCCCATAATAAATAGGTATTGTATAATAATATGTCAGTTCAATGTTGTCATCGATAACACACAATACAAATAATTTTAAAGAATAAATAAATAATCATTTTATAAAAGAAAATATACTATACATATAATCTTTCTGGTTTAACGCAACATCAACGAATTAAGTCATAAATTCCAATATGATTACAACAATTGACTTCGGTACCTACTCAGTAAAATTGCAAAATTTTAAATTAATTACTCATAACGCTACCAATCTACATGTCTGTAATATCGATGTGGTTAGATAAGGTTACGTTGTGAATTTAGCTCCTCAAAGTTACAGATATAGATAATATTATCTATATATCTGCGGTCGTGTGCTCCTATACAATTGATAAGGAATACATTATTACCACGTACTTTAAGTTGCATTCGCCGTAATAATAAGGAAGGAGTAATTTAATATCGATTAGCTAATCAATTTTAATTGTTTTACCAAATATATCGTTTTTTATCTATTATTGAACTGTATATATATAATTTTGTTTTCTGTTATAACTGTTATAAGTCACTTATGGTTAGACAATATAAAATTGGTAATATACAACAAACGATTTTCTTGATAATAATCTCGATTTCAATAATGATATCACCCGTGTGCTTTGATGAGCCGTTGTTTTACTTCTTCGTGGTTATTAGCATTCTCATTAATATCTGCACCTAGAAACCTAAAAGTTCTTACTCTTTCAAATGTGTAGTCATTCAGTTTTAAACAATTTCTTCTGTGGTTTTGTCTAGATATCATTATATATTTTGTCTGCTTCGTTGATTTCCAATCTAATTTTTTTTTTACTTTTTCTTCAAGATATTTGCTTTATAGATATGTTCTTTGAATCATTATCTGTTCGGCCATTAAGACTAATCCTCGTAAGGTACCGCAGTTCAAATTCGATTGTTTTCTATTTGTATGGCCGTAGTTTGGGTAATTACTATCTCATAAGTGATTCTAATTTATAATGTTATTATACGCCGTGCTATATCAAAAACATAGAATGCTATATCCTATATTATAACAAAATCGTGAGCCGTAACCTATCTACCTACACATTTTTAAAATGATAAGATTTCATATGTAAAAATATCTAAAGCGGAATTATTATAGACGATGTTTTTATCAATTCCCCTTAACCGGGAAAAACGTAGGAAAACTGGAAAAAATCGGTACAACATTAAACAAATATTACCAAAGAAAATATATAAATCTTATTTAATTATTTTACTACAAAATGACACATATCTTGTTGACAAAGCATCACTATCGACTGAACTCCGCTCAAAATCGTTTTTTTGTAAGCAATGGTTTATCGTTGCTTATTAGTATACATTAAATTATCTATAACAGTGGCTACACCCGTTCCCATTATCCTAGGACGTCTTTTTAAAATTATATTATGTAAACCATTTAAAACGTTGTGTATCAGCAACCTGATAATGGCGTAAGCCGAAACTATGTAGTTGTGAAATAAAACTTATTATACACTTTATGTCAATTTTTTAAACAGACATTTTTTTATATAATTAAATAAGAGTGTCATAAAATCAAATATATAAAAAATACCCCCTAAAAAATGTGGTTAAAACGACAAATATATACGGTGCTCCGCGTCGTTACTGATTTCAATGTTTTTCATTTTTGCAAATTAGGTTTTCTACAAAAAATATTGCTTCAATCGAAAAATGACATGAGATCAATTTTAACTCATATAATTGCCACTGGCAGAGATCATTTTTTGACATCTAAAGAGATTTTCATAATAATTGGGAAAAACCAAATAAATTCCAAAAAAAGTTAATACTCTCCAAGATAAGATGAGTATACCCACTTAAATGGATCACTCGGTACTTTGTGATAAAACAAATTATGCTTCATGTAGTTTTTGTTATAATAGAATTTTAGTATCACATTTTGACGAAAATTATTATAGTAAATTATATTAAAATAATATTAAATAACATATAAATAATAAATAACTTTTTGTTAACAAATAAATACCTAATAAAAATGATATATTGACATTAGAAATATTTCGCGTTGTTAACATATATAATAAAACATTAAGTACCGGATGATTTAATATTTTTCTTACTCGACTTTTTACAAATTAGACACCGTAACAACTGAAAAGGATTTAAGTGCATTTAATTTATAATTATTCGTAAATACAAGTAATAGATCCGCTGTTTGTTGACAGCGTCTCATCAAAATATGTCTTCTAATATTAGTAATCAGTCAGCATCCGAACGCTTTACCACCATCTATGGGACCGGTGTAAATTTAATGTGTATTTTTGCTATTTACGCGGTGTAGAGCGCGCTGCATTTATATTCATCGCTAAACTCAAACTGTGTGTGTATCTATAACCTGTGTAGTAGGTAGGTTGTAGCATTGATTTTATAATAAATTATAGTATATTATAAAATCAAAGGTTTTAGCTACATTGTATACCTACAGTGTAATCTTAAATTCTGCAAGTTAAAATGCTATTAACACACGTATGTATTTACTATTGTACACCTTGAGTATACTAAGTGTCGTTCCGTTGATAGTGATGCTTTGTCAACATAATATGTCACATATAGTAATTAAATAGGCTCTCTATATATTTTCTTAAATAATATTTGTTTCATTTTGTACCGTTTTTCCCGTTATTCCAATGGTTTTTCCCAGCTTTTCACATTTGCAGAGACAACACCTTAGAATTTCTAAAAATAGGTCTTTTTAAAATACCTCCCAAGTGAAATTTCCTTTTAGAAAAATTGCTATCATTAAATGTTGGAGCAAAATTGCTGGTAGAAAAATTGTTCACAGGAAAAATGAAGGCCATAATATTATTAGCTAATACCTACATTTCTTACAATTTCCTGGTTTTTTTTTTCTGTTTTTCACATTTGTTGATAAAACTCCAGAGAAAATCGAAAAACGACCTCTTTAAAATACCTCTCCAGTGAAATTTATTTTCAGAAAAGTTACTACACGTAAAAATCAGAGCAATTCTTCTCTTAGAAAAGTTGTCCACTGAAAAAAAAGTATACATCTTTGTAAAACCATAAGGTTTTTGCTCCAATTTGAATGCAATATAGCTAATGATTTAATTATATTATTTTTCAGAAATCATCAAGAAGAAAAAGATAAAATGCATATAGACTTTATGATTTTTTTGCAAAATCTAACAGAATTAAGAATTATAAGTCGAACACAATTAACATGGCTATATTTGATAAAATTGAAAACTTTAGTAAGTTAACATCGTAGTTGTATTTAAAGAATAACTCAATTATAAATCTAGTTGTAGATGAAGAAGTTTATAATAATTTTAAATGTTTTTTTTTATGTTATGTACTTTATACACTAATTGTTTCTAATTATTTACAATTTAATCAATATTGTCCTCTAAAAATATATACTTGTACATATAATTATTTATTACTTGTATACCATTTCTTTAATTCGGTGTATGGAAATAATATTTACTATGGTCTGTATGGGAGTGCGTAAAAAAACCGAAAATATTTCAGCTGAAACCGTAATTTAACCGACAAATATTACAGTCGAAACATATTTTATTCAAACCGTATTTCAAACGACAAATCCCTCTCCACTACAATCAACGTTCTGCTATACCTCATCTGCAGTCTATACGCACAATTACGGACGCTATAGTACCGGTTGTATCGCAGCGTTGGTTGTAGCGGAGAGGGATTTATCGGCTGAAATATGGTTCAGATTAAGTACGTGTCGGTTATAGTACGGATCAGATTTCATATTTGTGGGCTTAAATACGGTTCGGATGAAACACGTGTCGACTAAAATACAGTTCGGATAAAATGTGTTCCGGATTATTTATTTGTCGGCTAAAACAAAGCCCTTCATATTTATTTCTTCTTAATGTTTTAAATTTTATTGTATGATTTTGTATTTATTTTAATCATTAACCTCAATAATATAATTTTAATCAATTCAGCATTAAAAATCATAAATTCCAAATCAATTTTTTCACAATATTAAATTTTAATATTTTTTAAAAAATATACGTTATGAAAAAAAACATAACTTTTTGAAATCTTTTACGAATAGTTAAATTGTTTGTCGGTCATTTTTTAATTATTTTATAATCCTAATGCCACCTTTTTGTCTTACACGCCCTTTGAGAGTACTTGTAAAAATATATACATGTACAAACACTATTTAAATAATTATACTTGTGTACCATTTCTCTATTTCAATGTATGGAAATAATTATTTATTAAGGTTTTTATTTCTTAATGTTTTTAATTTTATTGTATGGTTTTGTGTTTTTTTTTTTTTTTTTGGTCATTAACCTCAATAAAATCATTTTAATTATTCAAGTATTAAAAATCACACATTTTAAAAACAATTTTTTCACAATATTAAATTTAAAGTATTTATTTTAAAAATGTATGTCATGGAAAAAACATAACTTTTTGAAATCTTTTACTAACAATTTCAAAAATAAGTTTGTGGTTTTAATAAATCAACAGCAAATTAATTTGTAATAATAAATTAAATATATTATATATATTAATAATTTTTTTTTAAAGGTTATGATTAAAAAGTTTTTGGGGAAGTAAGAATTATTCTATCTAACTAAGTTTTACCTGCATAGTTTTGTGAATTATCATTATTCTTTTAATATTTGGAACTCCAAAAATAAGCTAAATAAACTAATTTTGACTTTACCAAAACATTTCATTAAACTACAAAAAATTATTTTTAAAAAAATATCTGAAAAAAATATTTTTAAAATGCTTTTTGGATTGATATCCAATGTGCTATTTTTGAAGGTTTACATGTAAATATAGATTGCCAAATTTAAATTATTCTGAAAATGTATGTTATTTATTAATAGTAGTTCACAAAACTCTATACAAAAATACTTTTATAGGAAAATCTATTTTTAACTAAAATGATATACTTTTACACAAATATCATAATCTTAAACCTTAAAATGAATATATAAAAGATTGTAGTATATAAATCTGTCACATAAAGACAATCATAAACTCGACAATTGATTTGTTCATAAAAAAATTCATTAATATAATAGGAATCAATAAGAGAGAATTTCAATCATTTAATATTTACTCTGTTTCACTAGGTAGGAATTATCAACAATGCTGATATATGTGATACCACAAAATTGTAATTCTTTTCAATACAATCATTAAATTAAATGTTCATTAGCATCAAAATTCTTTTTGCAAATTTGTTCCATCTACCACAACAGTTTTTAAATTGTAGAGATTTGAAATTATCAAATTATTTTTATAAACATAGGCAAATCTTCGGGTAAGAATTTACAGTCTTCAATCTTTGAAGTTTTTAAGTCACTTCAAATTCTTCTAAAATCCATGCAAATATGTTTAGGGTATGATGTGATTGAGGTCAATAACTAAAAAAATACAAAACCATATAATTAAATTAATAATGTTGAGAAGAAATTAATAATATAATAAATAATAGTTTAATAATTTATTTAAATGGTGATATGGTATACAAGTATAATTATTTAAATAATAATATGTACATGTATATATTATTAAAGAACAATAGATTTCATTGTAAACAATTAGTGTATAAAATACATAATTTAAAAAAAAAACATAAAAATATTCTAAACTTCTCTACCTAAAACTATGATATTAACTTACTAAAGTTTTTGATTTTGTCAAATATCGCCATGTTAATGTATAATTGCAGTTAACTTTTAATTCTTATATTCTCAAATTTTGCAAAACGATCACAAAGTCTACATTAATTTCATCTTTTACTCCCTGATGATTTCTGAAAAATAATAAAATTTAATCATTAGTTAAATTTTATTTTATTTTTGTCATACTTTATTGAAGTAGCATTAAGTATTACTAATCAAGGTAATACCATGACATCTCACAACTATACTCTGTCTCACGAGAGAACATGTCATATGATAACGAAAATTGGTCGGCTCTGTGCACATCCACTGTTGTCGGTGAGGAAATTTGAATGCATGGGGGGGCATATTATGACCTGGTCGGTCGATGAATGATGTGCAGATCTGGCATGCTTTTTCATGGGACAGAGTATACAATGCATGGATATTTATATAATCTAAGAGCCTTTAATTTATTGGTTTTGAATATGTCAGAACCACATTTAGACTGTTGTTTACAGAAGTACTCAGTATACTCTGATTCATTATAATCTTCATACTATCATATTCATCATCACCTTAAAATTCAGCATTATGTTAATCTTTATCAGCTTCATTATCGTATGTTTAATTTATTTATTTAACAAAATAATAATTTAAATGAAACCCAAATTGTAAATAGATAAAAATTTTAAATTTATATTCTGCATTGTATAAATTGAAATTATAAAAATAATTATGTACATCAAAGCTTTCTTCAAATTTCTTCAAACATTTTTATTTACTTTTAAAAATATCTACAGATTCCTATGTATAAATATCTGGATTCAAAATAGTAAATATTTCTGAAATTACATTGAATAGTAAATAAAAACCTGTACTAATTGTATACAAAAGAAGATTTAAAAAATAAAACCTAAAAATTCACAGCTTCTTGAATTTGTTGAAGAACGCATAAATAATGTTTTATAATTTTAATTTTAAACAACAAAGAATACAAAATTGAAAGTTCTATTTATTTAAAACCTGGGTGTTATTCAAATACATCAGATAAGGATGCTAATGAAGATAAAATGAATATTGAATATTAAAGGGATGGGGGAAAAATATGATGACAATATAAACAATGAACATGTTGATATAACAGTGTATTCTGAGTATTTTTGTAAAAAAATAGTCTACATGAGGTTCAAATGAATCAACAGCAGACTCATTTGAAATGGCAGAAATAACAGCCATGCAGGTTGGAAAAAATTTTTAAATGACCATGTATTATTTAAGAATGCATGGGCTGTGGATAACAATTTTAACACGCCTAAATCAATAAAATTAAAATAATATTTTCAAAATGTTGAACGTTTTGATTAAAAAGTTTTTGGGGAGATAATAATTAGTCTATCTAACTTAGGTGAAAATTTTTAATTTTTAAAAGTTTTAATTAAGATTGTGCCAGTATTTACCTACATAGTTTTGTATAATATCATTAATTACAGCAACTTTTAATATTCGGAACTCTAAAAATAAGCTAAATAAACCAATTTTGACTTTATCACAAACATTTTCATTGAAAACTATAAAAAATTATTTTTTGAAAATGTTATATTTCAAATAATTTTTGGTTTAATATCCAATATACTATTTTTGAAGGTTTACATGTAAAATATAACATGATAGATAAGTTTTGATTTTACCAATCAATTAAGCACTAAAAACCCCCACATTTAAAAAAATAATTGTTTCACAATATTTGAATTGTTTTAATGTAAGTTTTTTTTAAAAAATGTGGGTTATTGAAAATAAATAACTTTTTGAAGTTTTTATTGATAATTTTCAAAATTTGTTCATCGTAATTTGCTTAAATTCTAATTGTATACGTGAAAACACACATTTTTAAAAATAAAATATCGGCTATATTATAATATTGTTATCATATCCGATTTAATAACTACCCATAATAATGCATTAAACGTAAATATCGACATTAAAATTGTTTGTAACTGTCGCTTTTTAAACACGAAGAAAATATTCGATAGCAACAGCTAATAAGTTAGATGATAATGGGTAATGATGAGAAGACAGGACATAAAATTTTGAACCAAAATGGCTAACTTATTCGAGTGTTTCTCGCAGACCGGATCGTAAATTCTGAAAAACAAAATTTGTTAATAATATATTATACTCTTTTTCAAATGGGAACGCACCGCGTCGCGCATCGTTATCAAAGGAGAAATCACACGCTCCTATCACAAAATAAGTAATTTTCTGATTGGTTGCCATTGGTAGGCTACTATCGACGCCGTCGTGCATACAGAGAATTTAATTATCTACCGCATCACACTGAGTGCATGTAAAAAACCAGCAGATATCGTTTTACACATATTAACGGCCATTAAATGTTGTGTGGATACAAATCATTACGTATGCAATATGACGCGACCTGCGGTGGCTGAAACTGTCGGGAGTGGGATGGACGTGCGCGAGTTTCGACCAGTTCTCGTCTGCCGCCCAGTGCGTTTTTATTTGAAAAAGAGAATAGTTATTATTGTTTTGTACGTAAGACGCGATTTTAAACGAACGAACGTGGTTTTACACTCTGAGTCTGAATCCGAAAATAGAGGCATATTCAAGACACGAGGTTAGCGGTGTAAGATCTGGAACAAATGATATAAATATTAAAAGAGTTGATACTGAGTAACCGCAGAAAGATATTCGACACAGTGTTGCCAACATCGGCACACCAAACAATTTTATGAGCATATCATTTTGGTACCAAACGGAGTTTAGTAATATTGTGATTGTAGTTTTATATTCATTTGTTGTTGTTTGTTATTTACAATTCCTGTAAATATCATAGTTTTAATTGTTAGACATTTTTTTAGATGAGTTGAATTTGTTGATTAAAAATGTAACTGTCAATGCTTCATTGCCATTTAGTTTAGTAGTGCATCAATATTACTATTTAAATCTTTTTTCTTTTTTTTAATGTATGTATTCATGGTTTTAAATTACCCGAAGTTCAACTGAATAAAAATTAAAATATTTGAGGATCAAATGTTACAGGTACCGGTACCACCCGTTCGAACGACATTCGGTCCATTAGTCCATAGTACGGAGACGTTGGTTATAGGAATTCAACCAGATACAATGAACACTTACTAGTCAGGAACATATCGATTCACTTCGCTACTGTGTAGTTATCACATAATCTGTTGAACGTTTGTTCCTGGTGTACTCTACGAAAATAACCGTGTAATAAGGTAGGTAAATATTATTTTTGAACCTGACCTATACTCATCAGATTATTAACATTATTCGACATTCAAGTGTTTTAGAATATTCAAAAACCATGGAAGCGCACTTGCGTGAAACTAAAAATTTAATTAAGTTAAGCATACAGTGGAAAGTAATGTCAACATTGGATTTACCTAATAAAAAAGATGCATTCCAAAATGTGTCAAACGAAATGTTCAAATTAGGGTTTTGTTTATCCCCAGTACAATGTAGAAAGACACTAATACAACTAATTGAAGATTACAAGAATTATCAAAAGATACTGCCATTCATTAATGAGATGGAAAAGTTGATGTATACACGAATTGAAAAAAAAAGAAATGGAAATTTGGATACCGAAGATCCTATTTCAACGATGCTGCAAACAATGAATAGGAATGTAAACGAAAGTAATTATTCAACAATTTTGTTTATTTGATGGTTTATTAGAGAGGTAGTTTTTGTTTTTTTAAGGTGCTCAGGGAAATTTTTTTTTTTATTCCTATTAAATGATAACCCCAAGCTAGTGTGTTAATACCATTTTCTAAAATAAATCTTTTGTCATTTTTAGCTTTTTTATTTTGTCGACAGTATACATTTTATGTTTATCTGTTCAGGACATATTCTGTTTTGCATATTTTGATTTTTTATTTATTACACAATCTTTATAGTTCTCTAAATGCAATTCCTTTTGAACTACATTCTTTTTCACCCCTTTTGCTTTCTTACACCATTATTTTCGTCTTTGAACTTACCTGGAATTTTTTTTATTAATTAAAGGTATTCCATATTCATTATCTACAGTAAAATCCAAGATATCAAACAAATCAAACATTTTTTTTATCATTTTTCATATCTTCATAAAAATTGTTAGTTTTAATTTACAAATTAAAAGCATTAGTATCTGTACTATAATTTAACATTTTCTCTACATTTTTTCTTTAATACATTATGGTATAAATCATACATCTGAGTTTTTGACATATCTAAAAGAACCCTTCTGAAATAAATTGGTTGGTCTAACTCTACTTCAGTTTTGTTCAAATATACAGCAATTAAATTTTTATCGTAAATTTTTCTATGGTCAAATTTTGATCTAGCAACCAGTTTTTCTACTGCTTTCCAATAAGAAATTAATTTTTATATCTATGATTTTTTTGTTTCTTTACCATAGTTCTACCAAAAACACTATTATTCATTAACTTGTAATAATCTCTTATAAAATTAATTTTTGCTTCTTTCTTTAATTTGTGTTAAAATCAATATAATATATTTTCAAACAGGGAGATTGATTAAATCATAATACCCTATGCATTTTCTCTAATTTTAAACCTGATCTTAATAAAACTTAAGATTAATGTAATGTATTATATATTTTATTTTATCATGTAACGTTACTGATAATTTAATAATTTTTCATTATCAAACATATTCTCTGGAATTAAGGGAAAATCTGAATCTAAATCATGAAGCTCTCCAGGATACTTTAAATCTACCCCAAAAACATAATCTACTTCCTGTTAATCTTTCATTTTTTTAATTTTTTCTGTATTAAAGCAGTTGGGATCTTTTATCCGCCTTAAACCCATTTGAGGTAAATATTTGCTCATTGGAACTCCATAAAGATATGTATAATCTATGTATGGTAAATATGTGTTTGTTCATTTTCATTGTACTCTACGTCTATACATTTATTATTTGCTTTAGCGTATCTTTTAATGCAGTGAGTTAAACCACCTCATGTTCCTTGTTTAAAAAATGAATACATAACTATATCTGTTAATAATTCTAACTGTATTCCTGTTTTTCTAAGCATTACATTCCAAGCAAAGTCTGGAACTGTATAATAATGAACAGGATCTAATTGAGTTAATGAGTTAATGAAATGTTTCTATAATTTTCCATAAAATCAGTGAGTAATAGTACATCAATCATGTTTTAAATGATGGTGAAATATTTCATATTTTTAATTTTTTATGAAGTCCATATTTTTTGCGCATTCGCATATGCTTGTTCTGTCACATTTTCACCTGTAAGAGAGCTGTAAAACGCATCTTTAGAAGATTAAGTTTTAGTATTATATTCCTTTAAAGAACACATAAATTCATAAGGATGTGCTAATTTTTTTCTTCATCAACTCAAAACTGTGTTATTAATAAATCTAGATAAACTTGTAAACTGATCTCTTTCTAGATTATTAGCTAATGTTTCTAAAGAACAGTATACAAATTTAAAAGAATCAAGCCTTATATCAACCCTTCAATAAACACGGATCTCTTAATTTATATTTGAAAATGATATATATTTTTCTTCATTTATCGCGATCATTTTTATTTGCAATTTATCTATGCTAAATGATTTTATGATTAAATGAGCATCATAACCAGACAAATTGTTAAGAAATATTGGAAAAAATCTAGGTACACAATAATTTTAATTGCAGATAGAATGAGCAGCACTTCTATACTTTCCTGTTAAACAAACACAATCTCTTATTTTCATTATATGTTTATTAACACTATAATTAAAATCTTTCATAGTCTTCTCATAGTAACCAATTTTTGTTTTATACATATTAAAACTTTTCACATTAAATATTGATCCACCTAACACATCAAATAACTCTTATTATTAGATTCTGAGTGGAACAAAGTAGCCTATCATTCTAAAAAGATATTTATGTAGCAAATTTTCTGAAAGAAAATCGGTGTAAGGAGGTACCTTAAAGAGGTAATTTTTCGATTTCCTCAAGAGTTTTCTCAAATGAGAAAAAACAGAAAAATTATGAAATATGACAAACATAATATTGCTTTTTTTTCTGTGGATAATTTTTCTACCAGTAATTTTACTCAACTTTTAATGACAGCAATTTTACAGCAAATGTGAAAAACTGGGGGGAACATGGGAAAAACCAGGAAAACATAGGAAAACAGGAAAAATCGGTACAACATTAAACAAATATTATTAAAGAAAATATATAGAGCCTATTTAATTATTTTACTATAATATACCATATATATTGTTGACAAAGCATCACTATCAGTTGAACTCAGAATCGTTTTTCGTTAGTAATGGTTTATCTTTGTTTTCAGATATACATTAAATTCTCGTTTCTATCCTACCTTCCCAACTTCCCACCTACACCAGGGGCTGCATCAGTCCCATTATCTTACCTTTCTTTTTTAATTTTGCATTATAATATTCTAGAGAGCTGTTTATCCATTTCCTTTTAATCTCTAGTTCTGGTTATAAATCTTTGAAACATTTTTCACATATATATCTTGATGATCTTAAATGTTTAAACCAATACATTTTTATATTGGTATATTACATAAGTTACACAATTTTCTTAAAATCGTTTTAAGATTTTTATTTTCTTCCATTTTATTATACATTATATATATTTTTTTTAATTAAGGTTTCAATTTTCAAATTCAGTTAAGTAAGACATATTTTGTTTAAAATATGGTTTGATTAATATTAAGTTTTACATCATTTTTCAAAATTATATTTAACTCTAAAATATGAAATTCCTCCAGGTTTATATAAAAATGTACAAAATTCAGTTTATACAAATTTTACTTTTTTTATTTTTGTTTTTAAATGTAAGTATATATTTACATTTCTTCTAGTAAAATTTAAATGTTCCTTATTTGTAATAATAAATTCTTCAGAAAAATTGTTATCAAGTTTAAGGGATTCTCATTCAACTTTGTTTTTAAATTCAGTTATTAACTCTTTTAATAATATTTGAATAATATTTGTCTTAAAGAGATATTTATCTAAAAAACTTTATCTTGAAACTCTTTTATACAATTTTCTGATAAATTTTGATACCCAGAAATTGATTCCCAGTTAACTTTGTTTCTAAGTTCTCTAATAAAATTGTCCGCTTCCTTAGATAAAATATCATAATATTATAGACAAAAATTGTAAGTTCATTTTATTATACTGACCTATTTATTTTGTGTAGAGTTTTAATAATATAATAATATAATATTCATTACATGAAAATTTAAAAGTATTTTGAAAAGGTTTGAAAGGATATAAAATATCAACTGTGTCAGGAATAGTAATTATATACTACTTATATATATATAGGATATATATGTAGGACTATATGCCCTACTTTCCCAATGTCTCACCTACAATGGTACTTCCTTCAGTAGTATCAGATTAAAAAAAAAAATGATTTTATTAATGTAATTAAAGGGATGTCTTACATACGTGAGATATCAGGATTTAGATGTGTATTAATTCCATTGTACCAATTGATCTAATGAAGCGAAAAGAATTCTGGAAACAGATTTAAATTTTCCATGAAGGTAATTTAAAATTGACTTACCACTTTCCCACTAAATTCATCTTCTTAAATTCTAAAAAAAGCCACACTTATAAAAAGAGTAATTAAAAAAATTGAAATAAGAATCTTGATTTATATAAATGTGAAAACTTTATTTAAAGAACAATATTATGCATAATAAATACATACCTAAATAAACAAATATTTTTTGTTTTAATTTGAATAAGTTCCATCAATTCCATCAATTTCTATTGCTTTTTTAGTCAGAAGCTTTATTAAACTCCTCCCTCTTTACTATGTCCTTTCGTGTCCTTTAAATTTTGGTTCTTCAACTATTTAAATGGTACATACCTATTTTAAAATTATTTTGATCTAACATTAATAATATATTTTTAATCAGCATATTATTTATTGATGTTTAATCAAAATTTAATTGCATTAATATTTTCAATCTAAATTATTTGATTTACTTTGAATTATATCATGTATAAATATCCGTTATTAGAATACTGAAAAAATAAATAGTAATGTACTATAATCTACTGTATAATTTATGATTTTTTCTTTTCTTTTTAGACTCCAAATTAAATCAAACAAATAGCCAACAATGTCTAGACTTAATTGATTCTATGATGAAAATTCATCAAAAATGTAGCAATGATATCTTAGATGCTCAAAACAAGCGTAACACACTAATAATGGATATAATGGTGCAGTATCAAGCTTCCCAAAATGATGTGTTAAGCAACCATGGTGATTATCTGATTATTTATTTGAAAATATTTAAAATATTAAAAGAAAATAATTCAAGTTTATGCAATTTAGTATTTTATACATATGTATATTAACCATTTATTTCAATTTATTCTCTCTCTATAGGTTCAGTTTGTGGATTGGTTTACAGCTGATCCCCTCCATTCTTCTATATTATTCACTTTCCTATTCATTTGTACCTATAAGTGCTTCCTTGGTCTTTTATTATCTGTTGGATATATTCTAATCTTGGTCTTTGCCTCTACACTTTCCTCTATAATCAGTTATAAATTCTTCTTTGTTTTTATACTGATGTTTCTTGATGCAAGCAGATTTTTCTTGTTGTTAAAGGCCTTTTTAATTTGACAAATACGGTTTATAATTTCACTCCTGTTTCTTTTCCATCACTGCTGATTGTGCTCCCCGAGAATGCAAATTCATCTAATTGTTTTACTATTTAGTTTCCTCGTAGTTTTATCTGTACTCTTGTTTTATTCTTCCTTCCACAAACAAGTACTTTTGTTGTTTTCACATTTATTTTCATATGCAAGTTTAATTCATATTTTATTTATAGTTTTAATTAGTTCTAAATCGTCCTTATTTTCAGAAATTAAAGTTGTCATTTGCGAAGCACAGCATATCCTAAATTGGTCTCTTCCTTTACCTTCTCTATTGCTTCTTGAATATATGTGTTGAATATAATTGGGGATAGTGTGCATCCTTGTCTTACTCCTTTATTTATTTTTACTTCTTCTATGTTATTTTGGATTTTTACAACAGCTACCTTGTGTTTGTATAATTTGTACAGCATTTTCCTATATTCATGCTTTATCCCCATTCTTATCATCATATCAAACATCAATGTCCAATTCACATTATCAAATGCTTTTTCGATGTCCAATAAAGTTGTGAATGTTTGTTTGTCTTTCCTAATCCATTTTTGAATGATTTTTCTCAATCCAAAATTGCTTCATCTGTTTCATTATTTTTCCTGAACCAGAATTGGTTCTTTGTCAGTGTTTGATTTATCTTAGATTAAATACATTGAAATATAATCTATTTTAGGGACATGGGATAGCAAGCTAATGGTGCAGAGATCTTCACATTTTTTTGCTTATGCTTTCTGTGGGTTGGGAGAATTATGCTTTTTACAGTATCCTCCGGTATTTCACCAGTTCCGTATATCTATGATAATTTAAAATATTTAGTGTTTAACTTTTTCCCCCGACTCCTTCCACAGCTCCACTTGTATTCCGTTAATACTTGTTGCTTTTTATTCCTCAGATTTCTCAATGCTTTATCGAACTCCACCCTCTTTACTGGGTCCTTTACGTATCCTTCTTCAGTTTTCTGTTTTTCATCCATTTCGATGATACATAGTTATTTTACAACTATTTTTTTTCTAAGATTATAAATGTATTATGAATCAGCGTTCTTTTTTTGGATATTTAATCAAAATTTGATTGATTGAAATTCATTGATATTTTCAATCTAAATTATTTGATATTATTTGAATTATACTACATATTAATATCAGTTATTATAATACTAAAAAAATAAATAGTTAGGAACTATAATCTACTGTACAATTTATGGTTTTTTTTTCTATTTAGGGGCCAAAGTAAATGAAACGACCAGCTGTCAAAATATGATTGATTCTATGACAAAAAATCATCAAAAATGTATTCGTTATATATTAGAAGCTGAAAAACATTGGACTGTAACAAAAATTGATATAATGATCCAGTATCAAAATTCCCAATTTTGTGTGCTAAAACAACATGGTGAATAACTACATTTTTATTTCAAGAAGTTTAAAACATTAAAAAAAAAAATCCATTCAAAATAGTTTATGTAATTTAGTACTTTATAAATGTGTATAATAACCATTTAGTTCAAACTGTATCATTCCCTATGGTTTCTATAAGTGGATTGGTTTGCAGCTGATCTCCATTCTTCATCTACTCTACAATTTATGATTTTTTTTTTTTCTTTTTAGGATCCAATTCAAAACTAACAAATATCCATGAATGTCAACATTTGATTATGCCTATTATAGTAAAAAATCAAAATTGTTTATATGATATTTTGGGTAAAGCTTATAGAAAGTGGTCTTTACATATAAAAGATTTATTAATCGAGTACCAAGATTCCCATTTTAAAGTGTTAACCAACCATGGTGAATATCAATATATTTATTTGAATATGTTTAAAATATTTAAAAAATAATTCAAAATAGCTTATATAATTTAGTATTTTATACATATGTATATTAACCATTTATTTTATACTGTTTATTATTCTCTCACTATAAGTTCAATCCGTGGATTGGTTTACAGCTGATCCTATCCATTCTTCTCTATTATTCACTTTCCTATTCATTTGTACCTATAAGTTGCATACTTGGTCTTTTATTATCTGTTATATAAATATAATCTATTTTAGAGACATGGAATAGCAGGGTAATTGTGCTTTCTTTTGGTTGGGGATAAATGTTTTTTTTTTATAATCCTTTTTATATCCTTTTTCTTCAGTTTACTGTTCATCTATCTCAAAGGTACATACCTATTTACAATCATTTTGATCTAACATTATTAATGTATTTTTTTAATAGCTTTTATTTTTTGATATTTTATCAAAATTTACTTTTATTAATATTTTCAATTTAAATTATTTGATTTACTTTGAATTATATCATGTATAAATATCAGTTATTAGAATACTAAAAAAAATAAATAGTAAAGTACTATAATCTACCATACAATTTATGATTTTTCTTTTCTTTTTAGAATCCATATTAAATCAAACAAACAGCAAAAAATTTCAAGAGTTGATTGATTCTATATTCAAAAATCAAGAAAAATGTTGGAAACATATTAAAGTAGAAGCTCGTAAAAGTCAGAAAACTGAAAATAGTTAGTTTATGTCATTTAGTATTTTATACATATGTATATTAACCATTTATTTCAAACTGTTTATTATTCTCTCTCTATGGTCTCAATCCATAGAGCTGATCTCCTTCATTCTTCTCTATTATCCGCTTTCCTTTTTATTTATATGTATGAGTTGAATCCTTGGTATTTTATTATCTGTTGGATATATTCTTATCTTAATCCTCTATAATCAGTTTTACCAATCATTTGTACTTCGTCTCACAAGAACGGTTTTTTTGTTTGTCACTGCGCAACTCCCAATACTTTTGTTCATCACTGCGCAACTCCCACTACTTTTGTTTGTTCCCATTAATAACGTAGTGGTAAGGAGTGGAAGAAATTCCAGCCTTGGTACTCTTGGTGATTCGCTAGGCGTCTACCTTCTCTCATGAGACGGAGTATAGCATTTTATTCTTATATTATTTTTATTCTTCAGATTCCCCAAAGCTTTATTAAACTCCTCCCTCATTACTATGTCCTTTCGTGTCCTTCTTTAAATTTTGGTTCTTCAACTTTTTAAATTTTACTTACCTATTTTAAAACTATTTTGATCTAACATTAATAATATATTTTTAATCCGCTTTTATTTTTTGATGTTTAATTAAAATTTACTCTTTTTAATATTTTCAATTGATATTATTTGATTTACTTTGAATTATATCATGTATAAATATCAGTTATTATAATACTGAAAAAATAAATGGTAAGGTACTACAATCTACTGTACAACTTGTGATTTTTTTTTTCTTTTTAGAATCTATATTAAGTCTTACAAGTGACCATAGATGTCAAAATTTGAATGATTCTATCGTGGAAAATCATATATCATGTATTGATCATTATCTAGTAGAAACTGAAAAACAGTGGATCTTGCAAATCGTTGATGTAATATTGCAGTACCAATCTTCTCTTCTCGATTTGTAATCGACCATGGTGAATAACTACATTATTATTATGAATTAAAGTTAAATTACTATCATCTTCTTATATTTTTAAAATAATATCAATATACTTATATATTATCAATCTAGTGTAGTAGTACCCAGACCCATGACAAAATAGATAGTTATGCTATCATTAAACCTTACTTTGGATGAGAATGTGCACCCCTCTCACACTTCATTCAGAACTGTGATGTAAGCCGTTCTCCTGATTTGATTGGTCTATATTTTCCGAGTATTTGTATTCAAAACATAGATTTAAAATTGTATTATTTTTAATAAGATTTAAATAAATTTAATTTATATTAAGTATTCTATAGGTAAATAAATAATGTAAATTTAATTTTTTTGTGTATTAATATAATATTGATAATATAGATACAAATATACATGTGTATTTAAACATTATTGGTATATGTTAATATTATTATGTAATTCAGGATTAAAAATTTAAGTGTAAATAATAAAAAAACATTAGATTTATTATTATTTGATGTATTTTTGAATTATACTTCTGATTTCTATGATCATAAATTAAATTAATTGTATTTTAAATATTGTCAATAATTATTAATTTAAAACTAAAACAAATTGCCTGCATGTATATTCCCGAATTGTGATAGTGATTATCGTAAAAAAGGAAAACAAAGTAATACTAATATAGGTTTACATAGGTTTCCCAAAAATGAGGATATTAGAAACAATTGGTTGATACAAACTGGTTCTAATAATACTATTTATGTAAAATGTATTAATTTGAATAGTGGTATGAAATTGATACTTTATGAATTATTAAATATCTTGAAGAAGGTTACAGGAGACATCCAAGTTACAGAAAGGTTTACAGGTTAGAGGAAACTTCAGACCACTTCAAGCTGTCTCCATGGATATCACTGATTATTTAACTTTAACTCCTGGAAATTTTCTTATAGGAATGCCACTTTAGCCTTACCTAAACCAGAACTAATGGATGTTTTTATTTTTTTTTATTTATTTATAATTCAATGGGGCTAACTCTTCTACAATATAGAGTGTAGTATGATGACCAATTGTGTAAAAAAAAAAAAAACCGTATAAAAAAAGGGAAAAATATTATGTATAAAAATAGTTTAAGAAAGTATATAAGTTTATGAATTTATAGTTGATAGGTAGAAATTAATCCCCAACAAGAAACAAGCAAAACAAACAAAAATACAAAGAAATATATATATATGTATATAAAATATTTAAAAAAAAATTAATATATTAGGGTTAATTAAATTTATATTGTTTTTTTTAAAAATAAAATAGACTTAAATCTAAAGATATCACGAATTGTATTAAAGAAATCGAAGGCACTGAAGACTGAATTAGTTAGTTTCAGAACTCTAATAAAAAAGGAGTCATTATCTGATTTAGACTTAAAGTATGGGATGGCAAAAAGATCATGATTTCTCGAATAGTAGGAGGGAACACGGAAATTGATATGAACTAAAAGCTCAGGACATACAATATTGTAGTTTAATTAATCGTATATAAACATATATAATTATTAGGAGAGAGTAAATTAACTAAATTTTAAATAATAGAGTCTTTAGAAATAAATAGGTTCCTCATATGGGCAATTCTTTTAAAATATATATGTTGAATATTATCAAGGTCATGAATATGAGAGGACAAGGATTGACTCTGAATTCCTGAAGCAAATTCAAGAACAAATCGTACAAGAGAGCAATAAATTGTTTTTATTGTAGTGGGATTTTTAATTTTTTGAAAGTTCCTATTTATGAAGCCTAACATTTTATAAGCTTTGCTAAGCATATGATCATAATTTAGTTTATAAAGATAAGTCAGAACTAAAATTAACACCAAGGTCTTTTATTATATAAGTTCTATTTAAAATTATATTATCCAATGAGTAATTATAATTAATAGGATTTTTTTTATAACAAATTATAGAGACAATTTTATATTTCTCTATATTTAGGGGTAAAAAATTATTTTTACTCCAAATTAAAAATGTATCCATGTTATTTTGCAAGTTGATTGAGTCATAAGTTGAATTAATTTGAGCGTAAAGCTTTGCATCATCAGCAAAAAGTAGAACTTTTATGTTGAGACTAAAAATTTGAGATAAATCATTTATGAATAATAAGAATAGTAAAGGTCCTAGGTGAGAGCCCTGTGGTACATGAGATAATACTTGAAACTCTTTCAAAGATTGAAAAGATACTTTTACAACCTGTGTTCGATTTTTCAAAAATGAAGCAATCCACTCCCAAAACAAACCAGAAATACCAAAAAATTTTGGTTTCTATAGAAGTAGTAAATGATTTATTTTATCAAAGACTTTTTGAAAATCGGTATAGATAGTATCAACTTTGTGGCCAGTTTCAAAGAATTTTAAAAGATCCAACTGATATATTAAAAGATCGGTAGAGATAAAGTGTTTAGCTGAAAATCTGGGTTGTGAAGGACTAATTAAATTCGAAAGTAGCAATGATAACTTCTTTGTGATAATTGCTTCAAATATTTTTGGTACTAAAGACAATTTAGTAATTGGTCTATAATTACGAATATATTAATTTTTATTATCAAATTTTAAAATAGGTATGACAAAAGATTTTTTCCATAGTTTGGGAAAAATATCATAATTAAGTGAACAGTTGAATAACAAATGTAGCGGCTTAACAAGAGATTGTTTACAAAATTTCATAAACAAAGGTGGTATCTCATCTGTGTTATCAATTTAAATTAGTGCAATGTTGGTTTCGACAAATCCAGAATAATAAAATATTGTTTAGGGAATACGATTATAGTAAAAATTCCAAAATTGGTAATTTGGTAAAGTAATTATTTATAAAACCCAATGAAACTTCAGTTGATGGTTTCATGGAACTTGTATCAATTTCTCTAAAACAGAAATTGAATTTACAGATTATTTAGTGGAAACATTATATTTCAGATGATTCTATTTTTCTTTCTTATTAATGGAACAGACAATTTACAAATGAACATTTGATTTACTCGTCTAAACAAATTACTAACAAAAATACTCGCCCAAACGCATTGTGGAAAGTTGCCTGAACACAATAGAATTTTTACAAACTCGCCCAAACCCAAACTACCCGTAAAACAAATAATACATTCCTCGATACGCTCCGAATCTAAAACCAAGTTAAGAATTATGAAACCGTTAATTTCGTAAATTTTTCGTTTTCCTTACGTTTATTTCCCAATTGTTAAGAAAATTCCAACTTAAAGTATTAAAAAACAACTGTTATGAACATTAACTACATAACTTATTTCAAAAAATATTCATCATAAAATTAAAATTTGTAACTGAGTTTTTTGGTAGTAAAACCAAGAAGACGCATTAAATTTGTTCGTTTTACTTTACGTTTTTCTCCATTTTTTCTCACTCCACCCAAAATGTAAATAAAGAAAACACACAGCATAATATTAAAACTCATATATTCCTGAATTGAAAAAAAAAGACTTATACTGCTAATGGGTGTGCCATTGTTTGAGGGGGGAAGTTGGAAGGAAGTATGTAGTTTTTCGTATGCAACGAAAAGCAATAGATTCTGAGCATAATATTATTAAAGTAACACAGAAATCAACAGAAATTGCCATTTTTCTCATTTATTAGGAAAACTACAAAGAAAATCATTCAATAATTTTGAGTTTTAAAATTGGCCCTTTCAATGCACATCGTGCACCAACTAGATCAAAGATAATACAAGAAAATATCTGTATAATTTTTGATTGGAGTAAGATTTCTGGTAGAATAATTGTTTACAGATATAAAAAAAAATACATTATAGAAAAATCATTACATTACTCGTTACGCTTGACGCTCAGAACTTTAATATACAACATACTACAATACTGTATACTGCTAACAATATTCATATGAAACAAACATTTTTTCTGAATATTACATGAACATGTTAAGTAAAAGTTAAATAGTCGTGTATTATACATTTACTCATAAGTCACAATTCGTCATATGAATCAATAATATTACAATAGATCCCTCGCATACATTCATCTAGTTATGTGTGACCTTCGTATGCCACGTGAGCAGAGATATACCATTAATTTCTTAACCAATAATTATTCTCAACATTTCATTTTCATGACGATGACGTTCAATTTGTTAATTCAAACTAATTATAGTCAAATAAAACATTTTAAGCTCCATAAAAATGATTAACCATTTGAAACGAACAATACGGATGATGATAGATGTAATAATTATTTGGTCTGTAACAGTTACATATAAATACAATTTTCAATTTAAGTTCATCAAAACATGTTTAACCGAATTTAACTTAGAATCAGTTGTCGTTATCATTGATTTGTCGATGCGTACAAAAATAAATACAATTACCTTCCATCTACAAAGATGGCATATCCATGGTGCGAAATTTATTCATTGTCCGTCTTTTTAGGTTTTGAGCGAAGTAAGATATTGGTTTTACAGTGATGTTTTTTTTATTATTTTTGTTTTTATACTATGCACAAAAATTCTACCAAAAATTTTATTCCGAAATATCAAGTATAGCACTTTTTCTAAAAAGGGAATTTTCTTGAGGTGGTACTTTAGAGAGATATTTTTTTGATTTCCCCAATAAATGGGATACAAAACGTAGGAAAAATGGGAAAATGTATGAAATGTATTATTTTAAAATCATTAATATTACGGCCTTTCAAAACATGTATATCTAAACTTTGAATAAAATAGTTTTTCGTTAGCAATAATAAATCGTTCCGTACAGATACATATACATTAATTTCCTCTCTATCTTCCCAACTCCTCATCTATACAACAGTGGTTCACCCACCGTGCGAAGTATATCCGTTTTAAATTCTGAGTGAAACGAAGAAGCTTATGGTTTTATAAAAATGTTTCTTTTTTTTTATCTGTGCACAATTCTAAAAGGAAATTGGTGTATGGAGGTACTTTAAACAGGTTATTTTTTTGTTTTATTAGGAGTTTTCTTATCAAATTTGAAAAACTGAAAAAAAACGGAGAAAGTACGAAATATATTACTAAAATATTACGATTTTTTTTCCTGTGCTCAACTTTTCAACTAGCAATGTTGCTCCAACTTATAATGATAAAAATGTTTCTAAAAGAAAACTTTACTAGAAAGGTACTTAAGAGAGGTCATTTTTTGATTTTCCCAAAAGTTTTCCTAGCAAATATCAAAAACTGGGATAAAACGTGGAAAAACCTTGGAAAATTGGGAAAATTGGTACAACATTAAACAAATATTGTTAAAGAAAATATATAAAGCCTCTTTAATTATTTTATTATAAAATGACAGTTGGAGTTTTCTCAAAAAATGGGAAAAGTCAGGAAAAACGGGAAATTGGGTGCAATATTAAACAATATTACTAAAGAAAATATATAATGCATAATATGTAATTATTTTACCACAATAGTTATATTGTTGACAAAGCATCACTATTAACTGAACTCCGCTCAGAATCGCTTTTTCGTAAGCAATGATTTATCGTTGTTTACAGGTCTACATTATATTATCTATAACAGTGGCTGCATCCGTTCTCATTAAATATACGTCATTTCGACGCATACAATTTTGACGCCACCACTTTTAGGCGCAAGTCAAATTTGACGCAAAACAAAATTAAGTATGAATTGTTTGAAATTATTATTATGCATATTATTATAGGAATAAAAAAACAAATCATTAAAATAAAATATGATTATATTTAATTAGAAATACATCTATCTAAGTAGTAGAGAAATATTCCAGAAACCGCCTCTTCCTCAATCCGCCTCACCTCCTCCTCAATCCGCCGCCACCGCCTTAACCCCGCTAACTTCAACCACCACCCCATTTATACTGCCCTAACCCCTCTCTATCTTCATTCTTTATCTCCGTCTCAAAGAAGTTTGAATACGTCACACCGGTTTCGCCTCCGAACCTCGCTGAATGTTCTTCTTACAAAATGCACCAACATACAAAAAAATTATTTTTCCGAGCACTGAAGCCGTAATACTGTCAAGTACGGTATACAAAGGAGAGAACACACTAGTTATAGAATCAAAAACTCATGAGGGATACAGAGTCTTATTGAACCGCGAAGATCTAATGGAGTTACTAAATCTGAAAAGTTTGATTTTGCGGAACATCACACGTTTAGAAAAATCGAAGAAAGTAAATTACATTACTATTACATTATTTAGGATAACGATTCATTGCCACTTCCACCCAGCTTTTCACCGCCAACTTATCCATCGTTATCACCATCTCGGCAACCAAGCTATCCATCATTCGTAAAAGAAAAGAGAGGAGATGATCACAACAATGGGCCATTTGGTCTGCAATATATAAATTCATCGGAGGAAGAAGAATATAATATATCTAATTATGTAATACAGTTGTAAAATAACTTGTATAAAATAAAAACTTACATTATTTACTTTTTAAAAAAAATCAGTTTTGTTTATTCATAGTATTAGTTATACATAATAAGTTTTATAAAATAGGTTTCATATAATAAGGTTATAATTTCCGTACACCTCCGCTAAACGGATTATACGTAATAATTTGATTGTGTAAGATTAAACAATATGCAGCTGTTTTTCCCAGAACCGCTTCGTCCATTTTAAATTGATTACGTAAGTCCACGGTTAACGCTTTGACGTTGTCGTTTTATCTTGATAAATCCACAACTACGATCAATGAGTTTGTAGTAAACTTGTTTCTTGTTAATAAAGGGGCACTTGACTCTTTATCATAATATAATTTTTGAAAATCTGTCCAAGCTTTATACAATATAGTCGTTTTGTTAATTGAAAAGTTTGCTTGAAAATCTTCATAAAGATATACTTCATTATTTGTGTGTACCTTAAGATTTTTGAGGTTGCTATGGTCGAACCAACCCGACGGGTTTATTAAGTTATTCTTTCTATCGGTTTGAAAACGAGAACGGGATATTCACACAAGCCCCAGGTTCTAAACGCACACGCAAGCGGTTTACGAGAATCCAATACTCTTAAAAGTTTTAATTTTTCTGAATCGTTTACCCGAATAACTGATAATTTCCATTATTAATTATTCCTATTAATCGAAAATAATTTTTATAATTTATCATTCGACACTTTAATGGTTAAACATAATGTTAAAAAATACTCTATTTAGTACAAGTAGCACCTGCATAGTAAAACGGTTTAACCGTACTCTAAAAGAAAATATGTTTAAAGCTTTTATGCGAAGCGCGTGTATGGGTTTCTATTTTACCAAAGTTGATTGAAAAATACAGCAATTCGAAACAGAACTGTCGGAATGACTCCAACACAGGCTGATAAAAATCCATCATCGGCGTTATTAATACAGCGTAGTATACTTATTAGAAAGAAAAAATTCATATTCGGTGATAAAGCACGAGTTAGCGTAAATAAGGGTGTGTTTACAAAAGGTTATTTGCCCAATTGGTCTACCGAAGTACGCTACTGTGCACATATGTACTGTTTGTCGGCCAATACACTTATTCAAATTATTTGTTTTTATATCACAATACCAGTTGTTCGTTGGTTCATAGTATGTTATAACCTGTCCACCCTTTGCTTGATTTTCCTTTTCTATTTTTTTCCTATCGTTACCTATACAGTCTACTCTAACGGTTTCGTGCGCAACCGCATGCCGCACAATCTTGTTCTTTCCTTTTCCATCCTTATGGTATTTGAACAACAATATTAAAATACCGAGACCAGTTTCCCAGAAGCACTAAAAACATGGGTTTTCACTCCATATGGCTTTTTTTTTTTTTTTTTAATTCGTGCGTATATAACGATTTGAAAAGTAAATAATACCGGACAATTTGAATGAAAACGCAACAATAACATACACAAATGTAAGCGCGTGACGCTTTTTATCCGACTGCCGAAGGAGGGTAATGTTGTTTTACGCGTATTTAATGGGCGCAAAACATAAATAAAACACATCGGGCGATTTTCGCCACAAATTAACGCGTAAACGGTTCACTCTATCACGGCGCACTTTACGTATTTATATTTTATGGTTCCGCGATTAAAGTCGTCGCCACGACCACCAACGACAGCGACAAAAAACGACAGCGACAAAAAACGACAGCGACAACGACAGCGACAACAATAATACGCGCGTCAACGGCGTTGCTGCAGTGACCATCCGCGGTGACTCTACGATGCCTCCGTCGCGCGTCGACTTTGTCTTTTCGTCCGTCGCCCGCGTACGGCTGTACACAGGTACACGTACATTTTGTTTATAATAATATCACAACGTACGCGGCTGCATTATATCGTTAAATAATATATTATCGTGTGTGTGTGTGTGTACAATACTCGCGTGTAAAATAGTATACTGTCGGCGTGTGTGTACGCTATACGTTATTCGGGGTTTCGGACTCGCGACTTATTATCGTGTGTGGGTGGGTACGCCGAACGCGTCGCCGTCGTGTCTTTTAACGCGCTCACGACGACCCTATTTATTTATTTATTATTTTTTTTTTTTCCGTTTTTTTCTTTTCTCTCTCGTCGTCGCCGCGCGGCCCTTCGTTTTTTTTATTTTTTTTTTTTTTCTGTCCAGTATTTATTTTTATTATTATTTTTTCATTATTATTATTATTATTATTATTATTCCGTTTGTAACGTTCGTGTTTGCCGCCGTATAGTGTTTAACACCGGCGCGATGTGTATGCGCGCGCGCGCGTGTGTGTGTGTGTGTGCGAGAGCGCGCGCGCCTACCTATACGCCGCACACTATATACACACGTATATATCAAACGACAATCATTAATCTTTTCCAGACGCACAGAATTAACTGTCAAACGCACATCGCAAACACCGAATGTGTACCCCGCCGCCGCCGTCGGTCCCCCTCGCGGCGGCGGCGGCGGCGGCAGCGCGCCCGAACTCGGAGCCCGGCCGCCGCCGCTCCGCCCCTCCTCCACCCCCACCGTTTTCAGCTCGGCCGCCGACGCGGCGCGCCGCGCCGCCGTCGACCGACAGACCGACTAACCTATAGGACGGAGATTTCTCGCGTATTACACAGTTGAGAAGGTGGGATACGCAAAGTTATTTAATTTATACCCGCGCGTAATCAACGATAAATAACCATTGCTAAATAAAAACGATTCGGAGCCAAGTTCGGTTATCGGGTTTTCATTGTTGACACACCGTATATTACGGAAAAACCAATAGATCCGAACCTGATACGGTATTTTCACATCTCTAGGTATGATTATAGGTATTAGAAAGTTTTTGGACTCTCAATTTTAAACAAAAAATAAAATGTAATATCTAATTAATACAACTTTGGCTTGCATACAAGCCATAATATGCTTAAATATATAATAGGTTTTTGTTTATCTTATGCTCGATACTTTCAGTTGATTTCCTAGATGGCGGTTCAAGATACGACGCAATTGATTAATGTATACTTATTTGCCTGCTAATAAAATGACAATAGGTATAATATTGCGATTTTCAATAAAACATACTCTCAAAGAGATTCTCAGCTACATGAAATCGATTACACATTGTCTAATGTCTTTCCTCCGCAATTTCTAAATTGTTTATAGCTTGGAAGTAATTTAAATTTAATAAATATTCCATATTTTCATTTTATTTTATTATTTAATAAATAATTATAAAATATTAAACAATAGTATGATACTAATTACTTACTTTATAAGCTAAAAACACGATTAATGTGATAGATACCCACTGCAGGCACATACAGCCAGTCTTTAAATGGTTGCACCAGTACCCCTGAGAGCACGCAACCAGTGGTACCGAAGTCAATTTTTTCTTGTATGGTGAAAATAACGTATATTGTGGTCAGGTTAGGTTACGACCCCTCCAACATCAATTTTTACCAATTACCCGGTATTTCACAATCGTTAAGAAGACTGCAAGAAAAAAATCAAAAAAAAAAATGATCTCCCTAATACACCAAATAAAGACAATATGCTTTCAGAAAAGATACGATAATTATAGTTTTTTTTTTTTATAAACATTTAAAGTTCAAATTTTTATGAAAATTGTAAAATTCGTGGCATTTAAAAAGATGTTTAACTGAATTTCGTTTTAAAATATTTTTTGTTTGCAATGATTTGACATTACATTTAGATATAAATTAAGTTAACCATTTCCAATTTTCCACTTATTTTTTATTTTTGATTTTGGTGGAGAGAGTAATATATTGGTTTTACAATGATATTTCTTTTTATTTTTTATTTTTTTTTTATGTGAACACTTTATCTACCAGAAAGCATACTCTCGTTAACAAGTATAGTACCTTTTTTGAAAGGAAATGTTCTCTGGGTGGTACTTTAAAGAGGTCATTTTTGAAATTTTCATTAATATTCGAGTAATCAGAAAAACCTATTTCTTTAGGTTAATAAGATTGAAAGATTAAAAATAAGGTCATTGGCAACCGTTTTTATTAAATTTTCGTTATTATTAAGTTTTTATTATTTTAATAATCTGTTTTACACAATACTATTGTTGTCATGGAAACGCACATTGTAAACATTTTACCATAATATGACGTACATTATATTGTTGACAAAGCAACTCATTATCAACTTAACTCCACTCAGAATCGTTTTTTCTTGACAATGATTTATTGTTGTTTACCAGATGTACATTGAATGTAGGATACAGATGGGAGTCTGTATCCTACCTTTCCAACTTTCCACTTACAAATTTGGCTACATCCAAGTGCGGAGTATATCCGTTCTTTTATTTTTGCTATTGGAAGAATAATTGAGGAATTATTTAAGTTTAAAAAATGTTTGGAGGAAATTGACAATTGGTAACCTGCGAAAAAATCACTCCACTTAAAATCTAGGAATGATCTGAACCTTTACACCTCCTCCAAGCTACGGCTTTGGTAATCCCAACTAAAATCATTACACATACGTTATTTATCACAAAAAAATCCAATACACGTCTATGAATATAATATAATATACCTTTTCGAATATGAGTTTAAACGTATATGATTATGGCGTAATAGTATATAATACGGACCAAGAGTAAAATTTTGAAAATATTGTATTTTTAAAGTACTAAAAAAAAAGAGCCAAAACAAATTTAAATGAAATCTTCATTCCTAAATCTGTATATTATAGATAATCTATGGTTCGTGATAAAATAATCACTCTGTATAAGTACGAACACACACGCCACAAATTACACAGTTGTAACGCTTGCCCGTGTATTTATATTGTGTGCGTGTTGTATATGTTTAGCCGACCGTGAATATAAAACATATCGGATGCGAATTTTTATTTTATTTTTCGTACCCCAAACCGTTTTTCCCACTGTTATTATAATAATATACGACACGCCTGTATATTATACGCGTACATACAACATAGTGTATTTTTTTTCCACACT